AAAGAATATTCATAATAAAATTATTTGGACATCATAGTATACTTCTTAACATTGGTAAATACTGCCATAGGTTTGAAATACTAAACTAAAGGTTTGAAAACAACAGTAATTATACCACCATTCTCATTCATATTTACAAATATCATACTTTCAAATAAAAATATCTGTTTTCATATAATTTTAATTGGATAAAAATATATTTGCATTTATATTTATTGGGAACGTTGTTCCATTTCTGGCATATTGGTAGGGAGGGGGTCGTATAGGAACTATCTTTAGCAATATATTTCCTATTAATATTTACCAATATCTAAGTAAACCAAACCTCCACAGCCTCCTTACTGTTTTTCTCTGGTTGGTTAGCACGTTTAATATAGCTATCCAGTAAATTTAAGTCCAAAATATTTTCAGCACCAAGTATTAAGCATGTTAAAAGCTCTTCAAATCTGAAAAGTACTTCAATTTCACATGCCTACCTCTGATTTATAAATGAGAAATTAACAAAAAATTGAATTTTTTGTTGTTAATTTATGATTTATAAATCAAAGGTAGGTATGCAACATTGAAATACTTTTCTGGTTTGAAAACCATAAAAAAAAAAGAGAGAGAGAAAAAGGTTGATTGAAAGAAAACAGTTAAAATTGGAAAATTAAAATTTAATTAAAGCAACACTTATTTTCATTGATTACATGTTTCCTCTGAATGATGGGTATTTGAACCCGAAAAGAATATTATTGTTTTTCTCATGCACCAGTTTCAACTAATAAATTTATTTGGAACAACTGTTATACATATGCAACATTTGATAAACTGTAAACAAAAATGTATAGCTGTACAAAAGTATAACTGTCATTTACTAAAATCTTCCTTGTAATTTCTGTATATCTAGTTGGACATCAAGTAAAAAATATATATACAACATTTAACATTTAAAAATTGGAAGACATCATAACACTATATTATCATTGATTTGAAACAGTCTATATAGTTTGAATATACAATGTAATTAAAAATATATGATTATATTCTAATTAGTTTACTAAAGACAAATATGGTGTCTTCAGAATTAATATTCAGTCCTTATTCTCTTCTGACTTAGTAATATCATACATAAGTGGCATCATAGCAGACTTCAAAGAATGAAACAACTTAGGATATAACATTTCTTGTTTTGATAACAGCTGTTTTATTCTTATTCTCTCCTGAAAATAATAAATAAACACATAAATTAGAAGTAATTTACGAACAAAACATTAGTTGTTGATATATATAAAAGTCTGTACCTAATAAAAACTCTCAAGACTCTTTAAATCAATATTTTAGGTCAATAATAATTTAAAAAATAAATATAGAGTCAAATTTTCAAAGAAATAAATACAAGCAAACATATTATTTAACTTACAAATTATAAATATATGCTTAAACTGAAGAAAGACTGACGATATTTAATGGTAAAGAAGCTCCATCAGCAGTTCTATAGTAATGAATGTGAAACGTGTATAGTTCACTAGAAAACATAATTGATCCAGATGGCTTTCAAGACTTTAATTTTCCAATGATTATTTAGAACTTCAAGTTTCTTTTGGGAATTGTTAAGCACTGCAGCATATAGGAGGAAAGCAACACAATTTTTTCACTTTCAATATGGCTACTGGATCTGTCAGGATATCATTATTTTCATCTATGATTCCAGTCAATCCACATATGCCCATTTATGCATTATAGACATTCAGTGAAACTATCATCTCTCATTTATGCACTTACATTTGTCTTTCACTATTTTAAGTTCTATAACTTTCCATCTTGAAAGATACTCTCCTTTCATTTATAAGGAATTTAGGAATAGAATTAGAAATTATATTCTGTGACAAATTCCTTTGAGAATAACATAGATGTACAGGTTTTTTGAATCAGATACAATTTAAAATTAATTATATTTGGATAGAGGAAGGATAGATATATTAAACTTTGTTTATGAACACTATAAACAACATATGAACACTATAAAGCAATTAAAAAAGAAATCCTGGACCCCTCTAACCACGTTCCTTTCCTTATAGAAACGCTTTTGTTACAAGTGGTACAAAAGCATCAAGCATCTCTATTTCGTCTTGTCAACTTCATTTCATGACCTTCATCACAATATTTCACCTTTGCAATTATCATACATATTTCATAGCCTCTTCTTCTGAAGATGGCAATTCCCACCATGTAATATAATTTGACACATCAATAATTTGACAAAAATCACACTAATGCAACAAAAATAAACAATGGAATAACTGAGCTTACACCAGATAAGAAGGGAGGTTATGTGATGTAACATTAGATAACAAGGGAGGTTTCATCCTGACCAGCTATTTAAGGAGCACCAATAAATGTATAAAATATCAAAGGCCATTTATTCCAAAAAAAAGTTAAAAAACAGATAATTTGACATCAAATAGTGTGCTAAAGGACAAATCATAAATAATGTTTAAGAATTGAATGTTCTAAAAATTCTTTTCATTACAACATAAAGGCAAATAATTGTGAGGCTGTTTAATAAGAGTGCCAGCCTAGTATATTAGACTGATATTCAACAATAAATAATGTTAGTGAATATAAAAATTAATTAATTGATATATTAATAAAAAGAAGTTCTTAAATAATCTGTAAGAGGATTTGACTAAAGTTTTGAATGTTTATTGATATCTTCTTGGGGAATAAGTGGGTAACTCATTTTATTTATATAAAAAAAAGAGTTGAGTTCATCGCTTGGTTGTATAAGTTGACAACAATAATAGTGTAAAAAAAATCTGAATTAGAAAAAAAAAGTGGGAGAGGAGATATTTTGATGTGAAATAAGATCACGCTAAGATATTTCTGAAACAGCAAATTTTTGGAAAGTAATTAAACTTCAAAAATGACCCCCGGAAAAGTCAGAATATTCAACTTGAGCCCATATTCAGTGAGGCTATTTAATCTACTAGACAATTTTTATAAAATTTTCTCTTTCAAAGACATTTATTGGGAATAGACAAATGAGGGAATTACAGCTAATTTTATGATTACTGTGACATGAGAATGATAAATGAGATAACAAAAAAAAAAATTAATATTTTATAATTGTACTGGTGTTGATAAAAATAAAAATGTTTTACCTGAGATGTTTCAAAAGTGATTGAGTTCCGTTTTGGCAAATTGATATTTTCAGCAAACCTATTCAACATTTTTTCTCGAATAAAAATAAAAGGACGAATCACTCTTATATCTTCATCACTGGAACAATAGACAAAAATATTGAAAAATAATAATATGATATGAAATTAAAATAATATGACTATATGAGGAGGGAAAGTTATTTGTACATATTATTTAATTATAAATGAGATTGTGATTATCATGCAGCCATTTCTTAGGGCAACTGAAACCAATCTGGTGAGATATACATTCTTATCTCTGGAGTGATACCTATTGTGGAAGCAATTGGTTTTAAAAGAATGTAATGGTGCAAAAGCTAAATAATGACTGTGTCAAAGAACTAAGAAATACAATTATGAAAGGAGAAGAAGAACAACTATTACCATATGAGGAATGTAATGTTTGTAGAACAACAACCCTGGTGAACCTCCTTTAAAAAGAAAGCTTTTCAACACAGTTGCAGCACTACAAGTTCTTATAATTATATTGTTGCAGAAATTCAGGCAGCAATGAAAAAACTACAGACCAGTGTTGTAGCCTCTAGCCATTCTTATTCCAAGTCGACTACAAAGAATCGTTATTTTTTAAAATTATCAATAGTTTAATACCATAAATAATTTTGAGAGTTTAAAATTATCATTATTTTTACATCATTAGATGTAATGAACTGCTGATCATAGACTTTTTTTATGGCTGACAAAGGGCCATGAATAAAAGGAATATGTAATCATCATGGATTGATCATAGAAAGGCATTTGGCTCAGTCACTGAAAGCTGGTTGTTAAATTTTCTGAATATGTATAAAATATATACACAGGTTAAAGAATCCCTGAATAACAAGACTGAGGATGGGTTATTAGAAGTATTTGGATCGCTAGAAGTGTATCAACATTTCAAGACATATTTACCAGAGGAGTGCCTCAGCCTCCTTTGGTTTTGTCTTGCAGTGATATTTGATGTTATTAGAATCAAGAGAGGAATAGATCATAAACCAAATGTAGTGATGAGGCATAGCTTTTATATTGATTGAAGCTGAATTATGGCACAATATATGTGTGAATAAAAAAAATCTTATAATATGAAGTAAAATTTGACAAAAATAAAATGCTTACAGCACTTTAAAATTAGCTTTCATTGTTCTTAGGTGTCCTTTGTAAAAAACTGACATCAGAAAGTTTTCTGCCAGATCATCAAGATGATTTCCCAATGCTAACACATTGAAATTGTTAGCCTTTGCCAATTCACAAAGCTGCTTATTTTTTAATGAGTATGACAAATAATTTCCAGATCTTTTTCCTTTTGTAGAATTGTCCTCTGAAACACCTACAAATCAAAGAATAGATATTAAATATATTAAAAATATTAAAGAATAAATTTGGTGGGAATAGCATGGAATACAATTAAGTAGTTTAGACAGGAATATATTACAAATTGAAGCAGTTTGTGATATGGTAGTTTGTTTATATGAAATATTAAAAAAAAGAAAACTGTTCAGCGCTGTTCTTTCCAATTGAATTTCATTACTTTATAATTCATTTCTAGTCCAAAAGTAAAAATAACAAGGATTCTGGCCCTTTAAACATCACTTGTATCAGATCTGACAATTCATTAGTAATTTCTCATTATTTATTTATTATTCTTTTTTTTAAAATGTTTTAATCTTGGTTATTTTCTCTTATATCAGATGTAAACTTAGAATTATCATTACATCTGCATTATTTGCTGTTTTACTTCACTTTTTCTTGCTTATACTGAGTGTTCTGAAAAAGTCTTCAAATCAACCAAATTTTTATAAAAATGATAAATATTTCAATTTAAAAGTGTTTTTATCTTCTTAATTGTAAACTAATTTAACCTTGCAGACATTTTAGATGTGAGATATGTTTAAATTAGCATTATTTTCAATTAACAACAAACCCTTGTGTTGACAAATCTGTTATGTTGAAGATTTTTTATCCTCTTCACTCTTTACTCTTTATTAACGATAAGAGCCATTGCATAAACTCTAGAAAGCTGGGTTTATTTGTGAAAATTATTGTAATACTGTAATTCTTGAATTTAATTTTCCATATTTCGAAAGGCTCTTAAACCGGAAAGGTAACATTATTCAGAGGATAATAAATTGCTAACATAACAGATCAATCCCATGGCTTGTTGTTAATTGAAAATAATACTAATTTAAATATATATTACATATATAATGTCTGTAAGGTTAAATCAGTTTACAATTAAGAAGATAAAATACTTTTATATTGAAATATTTATTATTTTTATAAAAATTTGGTTTGTTCAAAGACTTTATTACAACATTTTTTATCTTCTATTAATATTTTTTCAAGTATTTTTATATATTCTACTGTGTCTTTCATACTTAAGTTTTTCATATTTCATATTTAAATAGTTACCATATCCTTCTTTGTTTCTTCATGCAGCTCTAAAAAACATAACCATGTCTAGGACCCTTCAATAAGAAACCACCAGAAGTTTCTGTCTAATGCCACTTCCATGCAGTTGTGGACTCCATGCTCCTGGCAAACTCTCCAGCCACAGAGATAATCCAGTAAAGCTTTGATCTGCCAACCCTTCTTTGTCTGTGAATGATCACCAATAGCAGTTTCCTTGGTATCTGCTCCTAATTCATCCTTGATATATGACCTACCCACCTTCATTTGGCTCTCTTAACAATTCATACTATGATAGACTCAACATAAAGATCATAAATCTCTATCTTCCATTAATTATGATGGTTCAAAACATTCACTGAAAAATCTTTCTCTCTAACAGCTGCCTGGGGTTGCCCTCTAGGTCTCTGCACCAAATGTGAGGATTGGACATATTAAAGTTTTTTACAAAAAAGTGTAGGCCTTCTTGAAATTAACCTGTTTGCTAAGTAGTATGAGCCCAATGTAGCTGTGATTTGCAGACATTTTTAATCTGAAATCCATTCTCATTTTATTATCACAGTTAACTTGGGATCCAAGATAAGTCAATTTGGCGACTATCTCGAAGAAGTGGGTACCAAACTACACTTTCTTCTGGGGAATACGAGTCTGTTCAGATGCAATGTACTCATTTTTTTCTTGGCATGTATCCATACCAAGTCTTCTTATTTTTTTTATAAAGCAGAAAATGCTTTTCTTACTGCTTTCTGCAATCATCCCACAATCAGCAAATGGTAGTAATCATAGCGACCTGTTGAATATTGTTCTTGAGATCTGGATACCTGAATACCTCACTGCCTTTTCCATTCCTATTCTGAACAGTAGACATGCTAGGGCATCCCCTTGATGGAAACTCCTTTTTGATTGAAAACTTATGGACAGATAGTCATAATAGAGTAAATGAAAATCTTTATGTTACAAGACAGACAGGATGTCAAGATTAGTTTAAGGTAGTAACTTATTATTAATAAACGTTTATGAACAAATGAAACCCAGCAATACCTTGAATTAATTGTATGAAAATGTAAATGGATGAAGATTAGGAGGTAGTAACATTTATTTGTTCATCTAATACCATAAGCACTAATACAATTAAGATCTGTGTAAAACGCATTGACATACTATCACTTGAGGTGACAATTTTTAAATATTTATTTTTTGAAAAACCAGATTTATCGGGTAATTTTTTACTGTTTTATATGTTTTAGTAGATCAGGATATTTGTTTGCAAATGACAGCCTCTATATATATTTAAAAAATTACTTCATTCCTAGAGAAGCTTTCGGCGACCTGCACCATATTCATCTCTTATTCTCTTATTTCTCTATTTAAAACCATAGTAGATTGGAACAATATTTGTTCTTCATCTCATATTTTGTCGACTTATTCACAGAAGAGGGCTCCTCTTTGTCCGACATCATTTTACTGAATCAATGAATTAACCAACAAAGTTTTTCTAAAATTGAGGTATTTCTGGCCCAGCAGAAAGCTAATAAAAATATATTGTGAATAATGAATGGTTTTTATAAAAACAGAACTTAGCATATTCACCGGCTAACAAACCTCTTTAAAATGGTTTTAAAATAGACAAATTTTACTTTTGTTTAATTTAAATTTAAAATACATATTTATTATATATGTGTACATATATATATATATATATATATATATATATATATATATATATATATATATATATATATAATTTCAATTTTTCAATTTGAGTCAATTTTAAACATTATGAATACTACTTACTTTTTTCTTCAAAGTAAATTTCGACTCCCAAAGGTTCTAAATAAGAAACAACACTATTGTTTTTAAGAGAATGTTCCACAAACACTCCAAGGAAGAAATTTTTCCCTTTTGATGAAGAATAATACTGATACTGATGTAAAGTATGGAGAAGTAAAAATGATTCCCGTTTGTTTGTCAAGCTAATCAATACATGATCGCCTTCCTTAATCATGTCAAATTCTTTTATTGCCTGTAAAAAAATTAAATTATATTATTAATCTAGAGCAACTTTTAATATATTGTTATACCATCAGATTAATTCATATTCATTCATATAAAGTCAACAATATTAACATAAATTTAATTTGAAATTAAATCCTGAAACCAACGTAAGTTGAAAGGAATTGTTAATTATTTATTCTATACTTTTCACGAGCAACTAAAACTCCAGTTCTTTATAACCCTCAGAATTACAGGAACTACATTTGTTTAACATTTGATAAATCCATTGGAAAGAGAATATAGGGCATCACCTAAACATTCTGAAATCCAGAATTAGCATCAGTAAATTAATAAGAATCTGTCTGAAGGAATGTCAGCTTGTCAGGTGATTTTACCCTAGTAGGAATGTTTAACTTTTGATGTATTATTTGTTATGTGTAAGCATGTCATTTTTTTACCCACTAAGCTATGGTACCACAACCAAAATATTTTAAATAACCAAGATAAGTATACTGGCTGCTTCATACAAATATAACACAAAAGAGGGAAATTATGAGGCTGTAATGCAGTAAGACAACTTAAAAAAAAAAATTGCTTCAGAGATTTAGAAATATTGTTATGAAATTAAGTGGAACATTCAAAATAAATATGCATCTAGGATCCAAACCTTTATGAAAATATAAAAATTTAAAAGGAAAGATTGGTTGATTGGAAATTTCCAAATTGATAGAAAAACAATTTAAAAATATAAGCCAAAATTAAATATAATTATAAGCCAATCACAATTTTTATGTAGGAAAATATATCTTGTGGCATTATAAATTCAAGAATAAACTGAAAGGTGAAGTAAAGAAATGGTGAATGTATTTATTAATTTTGAAATTCATTTTTTCACACAAAAATGAGTTTTCAAACTATAAACTATAAACCTTACACCCTACTAATTCATATAAAAATGAGTGAAATAAGTCTTACCTCACAAGTTGGATTCCAAACATTTTTAGGAGGTAAATGCCAAAGAACTGCATTAGATAGTTTCCTTGAAGCTCCATCTAATTTCATGTCACTAAGAACAAATGTTTTTTCATTTGTTGTGGCGTCACTTGAAACTGACATTTTTTCACTTAATTCAGAGGATGATGAATCTCTGTCTGCAAGGTTAATTCCACTATCTTGGGAATTTATAATATTATTAGAACTTTGATTTGTATTTGGAATGGCTTCTATTTCTGACAAACTGTTTTCATTTTCAGACTTATCTTCAGTATGGGTAGGTGTTGGAGATATTAATCCATCAACAGCATTTACAACATCCCTGAACTCTGATTTCATTTCAGACACAACATCTGAAGTAAATCCTACCAAGTATTCAGAAAATCGTTCTGCTGAAATTGTGGTAGGCAAATTACTATGAGTACAACAAGATTTTGAAGCAACCAATTGTCTTTGTGCCATCATAGTATTTGATGGTATTGAGAAAGCAGTACCATCATCATTATTTGGCAATGAAAATGCTTTTCGTTTATAAATATTATGATAATCAACACTCCCTCTTTTATCAGAATAATGTCCATTATGATCAGAATCATTATTTTCAGACAAAACATCCTCAACTTGAGCAATAACTTCTCGCAATTCTGATTTAATTTCAGTAGCAAGTTCTTTGGTAATCCCTTCAACATAAACCTGTAACAGAATAATAATTTATGTTTATTAAAAGTAATATTTTATTTAGTATGATTTATTGATTCAGCGAATCACCCGGTGGATCTTTGGGCTTTGGAAAAAAAAAATGAATAAATAAAAAAACTTTGAATGGCTGTAAGTGATCAAACTATGAACATCTGTCAATGTCTGACATTACCTAATATTTTCTTATCCAAATTAAATTGAGCAATGTACAGTTGAAATTCTTCCAATATTATGGCATAAATGAAATAAAAATTTTTAAGAAATAAAACAATAAAGGAAAATTTCAAACAAAGAAGAGGAAAATTTCTCTCTCCCAAAGAAATATTGGTAAATCTTATAGTTATATGTCTTTTCATTTTTATGTTGATTTTTAGGTCATTATCTATATAGCTACACACAGCCTTGTCCACATTGGGTGCACAGAACTGAGCTAAACCAAACAAAACAATCATTGGTGTACAAAAGGGCTTGGTACAGAACAAAAACATGCTGAAAAAGGAAAAATCCACCTATCAGGTTTTTCTTCCTTAACCATGACTCAGAGAATCAATCAATTCGAACATTACAACTTGACTTGTACCAGTACTGTAAATCGTATACATGAAAGAACAACCTGATAATCTGAATACTCTGATGGCGGCAATTACGGATGACTGAAATAATTAGAAAATCGTACAAACGCCTCACTTATATTACTATACCAACTACAAAAACTGCATGACTCATACAATGTATGAAAGACGCAATTATATTATGATAAATTCCAGCCATATTCACACTTATATAAGAAACTTATTTTTTGCAGTAAATGGAGAGCACACCAATACAGTACAAAGTAAGTGACTAAAGAGTTAAATTACATAGAATAACCTGAGGTCTAGTGTTTCATACAACCTGCTGAATGTTAGTTCATATTTTGGTAGGTGTGGATTAATAAATTGAGTTTTTTTTTTTAAATGCTATTTAAATAATGGAATCATTCATACAACTTACCAAATCTGGAGTGTTTCTTAAACAAGGAGGTGGTGTTGCGACCCGAAATTCATCCCCTAGGATTACAAGCAAATATAAACACAGTGATACATAAATTAGTTAAATATACTGTTTCAAATTGTAGTTGAGTTTCTTATTTATTACAAAAGCTTTTATTTATCAGTTAGATGCTTTTACATATGAATCCATTTGTATTTAATGGTTTTTTTTTATAATTATTTATTTTATTGTTTAAGAGGGGAATTCAGTAATTACAAAGAGGAGATATCTAGCAATATTGCTCTTTAGAACACCTAGATAACTTCTTATCTTATATTCAGTCTAGCTTTGATACCCAAACTTCTTTGAATAACATTTATCTAAGGGATACCAGACTAGAATCTTTTTTGTCAATTCCTCAAGATTTATACAATATTGAGAATTCTCTCAACAAATACATTTTGTCACCTGCCTAGTCACATTGTTATGTTCAGATCAAGAAACCTTCAAATCGCTTTACATCTAATTCCTCACCTTTCTAGAATGCTAAAAACAATTTTACAGAAAACCACAATATATTTAAGGACCTGGAAGAATAGTCAGGAAGTATAATAATCTTATTTCACTAACATTCATTATCCATTCCTAGTATAAAAAAAAAAAAAAATTAATTTTCATTTCCACATTAATGTAGACTCCTTTCTACAACCATTTGCTACCTTACCAGCTGTCATAGTCTTCAATCAGAGCTACACCCTAAAAGCTGACATAACTCTAACAATAGGCTCTATCTAACAATAATCATGAGAGAAGAGAGCAGTTGGAATAAAATAATAAACTTTAAGATTAATTTACAGTGATTCATTTTGGCTACGTAACAACTTAACATACACAAGAGAATGTTTTCCATCCATAATATATAATCAAATTTGAATTACACAACTTAATAAGATTTTTATATGACCACTCTTAACATATGAACCAGAGATCTAGACCCTATCAAATAATGAGTAGGATCTCCTTATTTTCAAGAAAAAGATTCAGTGCTGAATGTTTGTTTCTACAAAGGATGGAGAATCTGGAGAAGCAGAAAGAAATGCTGAACACTTTAATGAAGCTGAACTCGGTGAGTAAGCGACTGTGATCCTATTCTCAAAGAACGTTGTTTGAGTTTGGCTGTGGCAGATAATTATTATTATTCTGTTTCATCGCCCACAGATTGATGTTGGGATCAGGAGAATCTCACGGGGCACACCCAGCTTCTATAATGTAGGTAACCTTAATTAATTAATTGTTTAGGCAGGAAAACTTGATCCTGGCCCAATTACCTACTGAACCCAAGCTCCTTCAAGGGTTGTAGTGGTACAGATTTTTTACTTTCACTTACATATATATATATAGTAAGGGAAAGTATTGGAATTGTGAACATTTTTGAATCTGAGTTTTCAACAGAAATACATGTTTTGAGGTCTCTTGAGTCCAAATAAGCAAGTCCGACAAAATGGTCTGTGCGTGTATGTGTATATGAACAGTCTAGCTTAACAATGAAAAGTTGTAAGCAATAGAACTTGCATATTTAAGAATTGTACATGCCTGGGACGTTACAGCAACTTTTTTCATCAAAATCAGCTTATCGGAAGTTCCACTCTATATCATGAATTTTACACATTTTTTCAAAAACTGCTTTAACAATTGTGATTAAATTAGAGTAAAATTGAGCATTTTTAAATATAATATAGGTGTTATTCTCATTAATGTTCTCTAACAGGGTTAAAGTGCCTAATTTCATCCTTTGAAGTACCTTTAATTTTATTTTATTGAGAATAATTATATATTTCACATTGGAAAATGATATAAAAACTGGCTAAATATAATGAATGAAGAACATTAATTGATAACTAAAGGAGTAATAAGGGGTGGAAGCTATGCGGAAAAACCGAGAGTACCCGACCTTTGCTGATCCTCTCCCTTTACAGATACCCGATACTATTCCATACAGGGGCTTTCATATTGTTAGTTTAACCTTAATGTATTACTTATCCATAATATTTTGAAACGGCTTTCATGTGCAATGTTGAGGATCTACTAATATAAACCGAATAATATATTATATTTACTTATATTAAGTTATTTTTTCGACAACTTTCGTGATAAAGGTTCCTGAAAAAAATTAGAATTTTTCCAAAAGATCCATTTTTCTCCAAAAAGTTATTTCTGGATATTTATATACAAAATATTTAAATATTTTCTGATACTATTCACAATCGTAAAAGGAAATGAAAAGTAATGAAAACGTACAAATTTAACTTATTTGATGGGTGGAAAAACATCTACTCTAAGTTTGGTAAGTGAAAGTTGATTGATGCACACACTGCACCAGATTTTTTTTTGTTTATAGTTTTATTATATAGTAACCTACAAATTCCTCATAATTTGCTTCATTGACCCCTTAATTATACAAAACCCAAAGTTTCTATAATAAACAAGACTTATGATTTTTATTTTTATCAAGTATCATAAAGTTTTACCATGTAAAGATGTTTCACTATCCGTGTAATCTGCTTGACTTCCTCCAGAAAGCAGCCTTGGCCTCGAGAATGACATCAATCTATTGTTGTTTTCTGGTACTAATGCAGAACACAGACTATAACAACGTTCTCTCAAAAGTTGTTTATGTTTCGAATCTTTCTCTTCTCTTGCTGGACTATTAGACTCTGATCTTTGACGAAGATATCTTGGGTCCCTTAATAAACAATAAAATAGTTAAATTTTCAAATCAATTAAAAAAATAAGGAAAATATGAAAATATAACAACCTGAATAAACATTCAGCTGTTTCTCTGACATTTTGTGGTTTTTTACAATCAATTGACAATTTGCTTATTTCTGGTTTTGAACCTTTATAAACAGTAGGAGAAAAAGGAACATCTTGTTTCACATTTTGAAAATTTCCAAGAAGAAGATCTTGAGCTTCTGTTGGGAGCATAAACCAACGAAGATTTTTAAACTTTTCATCTATATATGAACATTGATCAGCAACTGGATAACGTCTGGCAATCTAAAATTAAAAAAAAACAATTATCAAATCTTCAAATTTTTTAAATTTAAATAGTACTGGTCAATACATAAGAAGTGTTACTTACAAAATTAACCATTCAAAATGTAACATTTCAATAATACTCATACAATATTAAATTATAGTATCACAAATATTATATTATTTGGTTTAACTTATTGTTAGTACAGAAACATCAATCTTTTTTTTTAATTTTACCTAATCTTGTACCAAGAGAAATAAATACTGTAGCTTAGTAAATACTGCTCCAACCACCAGATCCAAGAAATTGAACTTCCTTTCATCAGAAAATATGACATTTTGTTTCAAGTTGAGTGGCTTATTGAAATAGTTTATCCAAAAAGTGGTGTGTTTGTTTATTTACTTTTTTTAATGAGTAGCATGTATGCTACCATGAAGACTTTCAAAAGTAAGCAATATCTGATAGCCTTTTATTTAACTAACTTGGATACCAGTTGTTATGCAGTTCATAACAAGGCTGGATCACAAAAAATTATTTCTGGGCTCTTCAGGGCTTCTTCCTTTACTTTTCTTTTTGTCCACCTTTCCTTTTCAACTCTGTACCTCTCCCCATCTCAGACACAGTTCAGTAACTTGGATTCCTTTTAGACAAAAGACTAACTTGGAACCCACATACCAAACTTCAAAGACAAGAACTTAACCGACGATTTGGCCAGGTATACAGACTACTAAACAGAAAATCCAATCGCTCAATAGAAAACAAACTATTAATATACAAGACCATACTCAAACCCATCTGGACCTACGGACTTGAACTGTGGGGAACTAAATTTTTGAACATCAAACGCATCCAATTCTTTCAGTCTAAAGTCCTCCGTATAATAGTCAATGCTCCTTATTATGTTACAAACAAAACCTTACATCATGACCTTTATATCCCTTATGTCCTTGACGTTTTTCCATCCCGATTCTCAAATTTCCACCTGAACCTATTCCACCATCCTAACCCCTTAGCACAATCCTTATCTAGCTCATCATCCCTACAATCCTCCTCAAAGGTTGAAACGGCAGTGGCGTCGAGATCTTTTGTAAAGACGTCACTGGAGTTCTGGCAATGGCCAGCTTCTCCACTCAATTCATGAGTGTTTGTGGCTTTAGTGCCCTCTCTCAGTCTCCAACGGACTGGTAATGCTGGCGACGCGGCTGAGAGAGAAGTGCTGGGATCTCTAAGAGTCTCGCTTTGTCCTTCACACGTGAGGGAAAGGGCTGGACTCGGAGATCTCTTGCCTGATTGTAAATATTGTAATTAAGTATGAATGTTTTTCTATTTATTTCTTTTACTTATAGTTTATTTAATTTTGCTATGAATTTCTGTATTTTATTTAATTTTAACTCTAAGTTACATTTCCTTGGTTTATTATATTTTTTGCCTTTGTTATATAGATGTGTATTTTTTTTTATTATTTATTTTTTTATTATATTGTATATATGGTATGAATGTGCCTCACTCAGCTATAGTACTCAGTGCCTTTAAGTGTGGCAAAATATATTATTACTCAATAAAAAGATATATAAAAAAAACTTTTCTTTTACTCTTGCAGCTTAATTTTTTTAGACCTCATTTAGGCTAATTGATTTCCATGTTCATTGGAACTTCCTCATACCTCTTTATAACGTAAATAACTGTAAAAAAAATCAATCCTAAAAAAATCCGCTGTCTCATAGTAAGAAAATCTAATCTTAGGCTAAATCAAGAGTATCCAAACTATGGCCCTCAGGGTACTAACCCGGCTCACGAATGTTTCTTTGATTACATTATAACATTTTTAGAAAATATTAAAAAAATATGAAATTTATCAAATTACTCATACAAGAGATTACTACAACATTTATTGCTTGTTTTTTTTCTCTTATAACACTCATTTCATAACTGAAGTGTCATTTATAGAACAAGATTTTTTTTTCCATCACAACCCATGGCCCGCACAGATATTAAGTATTATTAAGTTTATATTTACAAGTAATCAGGATCCAGTGTCCTCACACAAGGGCAAGGCTGCTGGACCCATGGTTCTAGGGCCCAGAGATTCAAGGACCCTAGTAAAAATTGTAGGATTTTATAATTAGCAATGTTTTATATTACATAGGTTTTTAAAATTTGAATTAATAAAACTATAAACTTACCTTCCTTGCTTTATTGAAAGTGCTTCTTGCAATTCTTAAACAATCATTAAAGTCAACTGGACAAGAGCTCATTCCAGATAACTTCCGCTCTTGGAATAACATTTTACCATTCGAATACATAATTGAACCAAGTCTTTTCCGTTCTCGTGATATCTGTTAACACAAAATATTATTTTTAAGACAATAATATTTGCTATCAAACTCGCAGAACTTGAAATAATTTGATAAAATATCAATTTAATAGACTATAAAGAATAAATGAATAAAAACTCTAGTAATACAAATTTTAACCCATGAAGTTTCCTATTCTACATTACCCGAAAGACTTAAATTATTTTAAACTTAAAATTTTTTTTTAGTTTCTAATGCTATTTACCAAGCTTGGAAATTCTTTATCAATTATCGTCGATCTATTTCAAATGATCTAATTTAATTTTTTCTATATTTATTATAAAAGATTAGCTTCTCCCCTCTCCTTTTATGCACTTACTTTACCACTATTTATTGAGAAACAAGTGAAACCAATTCAGGGAACTAACATACTCTGATCTGTTTCAATTATTAAAAACCTCATCAGATTTCTTATAAGTAAGAAAAACCTGCTGAAACATTTTCAATCAGAAAGAATCATGATTTAAAAATACAACATTCCAAAAGATCCATCTACTGCTTATCTTTGGAAAAATTACATTCTCTCACTCGATGGGAGGAATAATGATATTTAATAATTGAATGAACTGAAACAATAACAGTTGATAAAACCTCTCTAATAGTTTCTAGCTCAATCACTTAAAAATAATAATGGATATGAATTTACATAGACTTAAGTTAATATAGTAATTACTTACTGTATTTGAATTATGTCTCCATTCACCAGTTTCAGGATGCAATAAATACTGAGGCAGTAATTTCCATCCTTCTGTAGCAACCATTTTGATTGATTCCAGAACATAAGCCATTTCTGATTCAGACATGAAGAAAGGTAAGGATATTCTTGTGAATCCAGGTCGTAAAATTTCATAATTAGATATGTTCTTTTGGTTCCTCACATCATAAGTGCTTAAAATAAAAATATTTATATCAATGGCTCCATTATCTAATTTTTAAAATATATTTTCATTGTAATATTAGTCTAAGCTATGAAAATAAATTATACACTGAAACCTCCACAAAAAAGGAAAGTCACAAGTACAACAATTGTAGAGGAGTGTTCATTGAGACGTGATATACAAGTTCTTATTAAAAAAAAAAAATACATAAAAGAGAGAAACACTTTATTTTTATTTAAAATATAAAAGATTGCTGCCCAATTATATTGGGTTGCTATGTACACAGCATACTCGTTAATCCGTAGGATAATAAATAAACTTATATATAAATATACAGAAGTTGTTATTTTATATGATTATAATAAATATATATATCATTTTTTTTTCCTTTCATTGTTCATGCTTTTTTTTTAAACATTTAATTTCCCTTTCTCTCACTTCTCTCTCTTTATACGCCTCTCCTATACACAATATTAAGATGCTTAAAATTATAATAGAACAATAACAAAAAAAAAAAAAGAAGTGTATACATCTAGAATTAGAATTAAATAAAATTTAATATTTAATAAAAAAAAGTGTATTTATGTGATTTGGAGTTCTATTAATATATATATACATTATTTTTAGAACTAAGTATGTTTATAAACATATTTAAAAAATAGTATAAAAACTTGGTGAACAAAAAGTATAAACAACATAGCTATCTACATAACCAATTATAAACTGACAAATTTTTTGAGTTCAAAATTTCTTTTCCATGATTAACCATTAATTTTTTGGAATAAATTGTATCTTTCTGTGTCGACTTTTCTCTCACGGAAGTTTTTACTTTTTTTTTATAATGTAGATGACAGCTTTTAGTACTTAAAAAAGAATAACTTCAAGATATGTGCATATTTAAATATATGTTGTATTTATATCAAAAGATAAAACCATTAAATATGGTTTTCTTAATTTTCAATATTTTGTTAAGGTCCATTCAGAGGGATAAATTTATTTCGGGCTGAAGTTCCCTCCCCAAAATGGTGAAATATAACCATGTCTTAAGAAAAAATAATCTCTAAAAGTATTGTCACTCATCTAATTACATTTAATAGGACTTCAAGAATCACTATTACACCATTTCATATAGTTTCTTTCTTTTTCATGGAAATTAATTATCATTACATATATTAAAAAAAAGTTTTCAGAATGAAGCCCCACCCAAAATTAAATCCTGGACCCGTCAGTGATTCCAGGAATAGAATCTTTTTTTTTTTTTTTTAATATTCCTGATAATAAGTCCTCGCTGATACAATAATTTATAACTTTACGTTGGTTAAAAATATAATATTGTCATTTTCTGAAATAAAAGTAACATGAAATAAAAAACAAAGAAAACATGGAATGTTAAATTAAATTAAGGAAAGAAAAGCTTAGAATACCAATATTAGAACAATTTTCACTGATACATTCAGCTTTCAAGAGTTTATACAATAGCTCTTGACGCTAACAATGAATAGTAAAGACTGAAGTGTACTATATTTATGTTTAAGTATACTGTATTTATTAAAATTGTAATCAAATGAGTGAAATAGTATTTGTTATAATTTACTAAAAACTTAATCAAACTAAGAAACAATATGTAGAATGTACTGCTACTCAACTACTTATTTTATAATTGTATTAAATTGTACTTTACTAATGTCAAATTAAGTATATACTGTATAAACAGTAAAAATAATTCCTGAACTCACAAAAATAGCCAAAAAATCAGCAACTTTACACTAAATTAATACAATGGAAAATTGATATAAAGAAAATAACAATAAAACAATTTAGTGATTTGATAATTTGTTCATTCAATAAATTTATTAATTTATAATGAGCTTTCTGATAATACTATACCTTTCTTCATTAAGAATGGTTCCATAGGTAGTTGCAACATTCTTTTCTATCCCCATTAGATCTTGAGCGTATGTTTCTGCACAAGTGCAACCACCTCTAGCTTGTATACCAAACATGTCATTAAGGATAGCACAAACAAAATTATGATGAAGAAAACTTCCTCTAGGGTGACGGACCATAAATGAAAAAATTGCCAGTCTGTCAACATGAGTTGTGCTTCCCAAAAGAATAATTTCAGGTATTTTACGAAAAAATGAACAAACAGTTCTGAAATAAATAAATAAAATAAAATTTTATTTTCTTATTCATTTGAATCATAATATTATTATAAAAATAATAATAAAAAAAATAAATTAAATCTAAATGCGTAATACTAAAACTTGTAATTTTAAAAATTAATTATAAATTTAAATTATGCCAAATGATACTTATAGATATTTTTAAAACAATTCAGGTGCCTCCTATTCTTAAAAATTGTATACATTATAAACCCCCTTCTACTAACTAAGTTATGTTTTGGAAGTATAACATTCCATCTTAAGACAACTTGAATTAAAAACAAAAAAATATGAATAACCTAAAGAAGGTTGTTCATCATAAAAAAATTATATTTGTTGATCAACAATTTATGTAGTGTTTATATATGTAAATATATATGTATATTTATATATATATATATATTATATATATTTATATATATATATATATATTATATATATATATATATATGAAATGTTAGTTCCTAGGGTATGAGGTAAATAATAGAAATAGAAACTTTAATAATGTTATTTTTGTTCAAAATAACTTCTGTTAACTATCAAACATTTTCTTCTCATCCAACAAGATTTCTAATCAATCGTTCAAAGAAATAATGGTTTTAAATCAATAAATGAATGCACCTTATTTTCATTTTGGAATATTTTGTTTTTAAAAATATGTCAAATGCTCTAAAAATGGTAGACACTTGGAATAATTATTATTATTACAATATTTTATGAAGATTTAGTATGAATCATTTGAAGACTCGCAAGATCTTTTGTTTAGTTGACAATACTGGCTGCAAGGTTCTTTGTGCTTGCAAATCTTTGGAATAATAAAAGTTCTTGTTCAATGTGGATACAAATGACACCAAATAAATAATAAAATTGATGCACTGCAAAGTAACCAAGTTTGCTTCATAATAATGATTTTATATATAAATAATTTAGAACTAATCTTAAACTTTAATTTCATATGTATGTAGAATAATTTAATAATTCTTTTAGTATGTTGTTGTTGTTATTTAGGGCTTAGAGGCGTAAAACCCCAAGGTCATCAATGCCTATCTAATTTTCATTTCAGTAATCTCAAGAATAAACTATTAAGTAAAAAAACTCAAATTTAAATTATGTTTAGCAAATCGACAGCTTTAAGAAAATTTAATTTTAACTTCATCATTATTTAGAACTACTGATAGTTTTGGTATGAGTCCCAATTTGGTTAGAATCAATACGTAATAAGGACATACGTAATAAGTCTTGGAGAATGTGGCTGACTGTGAGAGGATCACATTTTGGTGCAGGGTGTTTGCTTATCAGATTGGAGAGTGTCAGATGTCAGATGTCAGAAGAGATGTACAAAAAATGTTCAATTATTTTATCTTGGAAGTTAATGTCTTGGGATCCTCATAGAGGATTGTGGCTGTTTAGGATCCCCAATAAATAAAACAGGATGAGGAAGTTGGTTGTGAATATCTAAGCGATGTTGGGAGTCTATAGAACGATCTTGTGAAAGGTATATATTGCAAATTGAAAAAGTCAAACCGTGGTGAACTCTGACTGCAACAGATTGAAAATGGGTGTTAATTAATTCTGAATATACAAATTTATGTACAGCTATTACACCTCCTTGGTGACTGTGGTTTGGGTTCGGGCTATCTTTTCTATATATTTCAAAATTCTTAAAGGTAAAGTTGTCTTTTATAGTAAGATGAGTCTCTTGAACAAAGCAAAACGGGTCTGTATCAGATATTAACATTTTTAAATCATTAAAGTGAGTTTTTAAACCATTGCACTTCATTTGAATTAACAACATGATTGGGAATTGTTTTAAATGAATATAACAACACAATTCGTTTGTATGTTTCTCCGTTTTTAAAGTTTATTAAGCCCTTACTAGTAAATGTAGTAAGAAAAATTTCTTTACTAATAATTTTCAGCAATGAGCCATCAATTTGTTTAAAGTGTTTGTGAAACTTTATTGTAGTTTTGGAGAAGTTATGAACGTAAAATTAGCAAGGATTTATGTCATGTAGATCATAATCATCAACTTTGGCTAGTTCTAGCAATAAAGAAACCACCTTATTAACAGGAATAGGATAGATTATAAATATATTAATCTATTTTTTAAAAAAAAACAGTCCTAGTAAAATATTTTCCTAAACCTTGTAAAAAAAAAAAAAATAATATGATGTAGGCTAGTAAAACTATTTATCACCAAGAGAAACCTATTCTGGTAATTGATTAACCATTTTGGGGGGTTAAAAGTAGGTCTTCTAAATAATTAAAAAAATAAAGGACTCAATGACATGAAAGAAAATAAAAGTTATTATGATTTTACTTGACAATTTTTGCTTCTCTTTCCATTATAGCTGAAACACCAATGGTCTGTTTAATTTTCATTGCAATACCAGCTCTTACAGATTCTAAAACACCAGATGCTCCATTGTCTTCATAGAGATGTACTTCCTTAAAAAAAAAGAGATGTCACAATTTTTTTAATACATTTATTTTTTCAGTGAATCAACAATAAATAGTAGAATGTAATCATTATATTGTCAATCATATTGGAAACATAGAGATATCATTTTGGAATAGAACCCACTAGTGATTTGTCTTGGAAATAAGAATAAATAAAATAAAATTTCCTAATAACAGATACTCTTTTTGAATTTTTTAAATAACTTTAAGTAAATCACATTTATCCTTTCCATTCTCTTCACTTGCTCAAAAGATGAATATTATCCAGATATAGATTCCTATAGGATGCTGCTCTTTGCAGATAATCTTGTAATTGTAATACACTCTAGATGGATAATCTTTAGTCATCTCCTATCCTTTTTTTAGTTCTCCCAAACATTAAATTAAAGTTTATTTATTATAAGTTTTAAGCCCTCATATACAGCTATTTAAATATATTTTTTTTTAACATAGGCTGTTTGCCTTCCTCCTTATTTAATAAATGGTTGTGGCACCTTGATATGTCTGTTACAGAAACCATTAATAAAACATGATATATAGTATAATATTAACAGATTTTAAAATTTATTTCTAAAGGATTTGATTTTAGGATGAATATTTTTAAGTGCACTGCTATAGTTAGTATGAACTAATATTCCCTCTTGACCATGGCCGTGGTAGTGTCCTATAAGAGTAGGGATATTATATCTCTGTTGTGATTTGAATTGTAGGATTTGATCTGGCAATATATTTATGGAAATAAAATAATTTTCATACATTAAAAAATTGTCTCATCCCCCAAATTTGTTTTCCTTCTATATTTGCACCTCTTATTATCCTACCTTTTAAAAATTTGGACTCTGGGGAAATGTCCAGTTTCCCCATTTGGAAAACAAGGAACAATAATATCCCTTGACCTATCTGCTTGAGAACTTAAAAGCAGTGTCATTGTTTTTTGTTTGTTTTTTTGAGCTATCACTGTAGATCATTTAACATAATAATATTGTACTAGGAAAATTATCTAAATCAGCGTACACAACAGCTTTGTATTCCATCTTATACTCCTCCATTTTCAAATAATGTTGTTCTTATTACTTTGTTAAGAACAAGCTGTTTTATATTATGTAATATTTGAATTTTATTTCATTTCTCTACAACCATTTCCTATCATTTATAAACATTTCTCAGATAAAGTTGCTTTATTGATAGGCTAAAATTAATTATTTTAATACGTTTTGTATTATTTAAAAAATTGTAACAAGTGGCAGGCGCCCCTGAAGATCGGTCGGTACCCCTTTCAGGTCGGTTGCTTCACTCTGAGGTTCTAATTTCAGATATTTCTCCCTGTTTCACGATTATGTATTTGAGATCATTTGAACATTCCCTTGTCAATCATTCTGGATTTCGAAGGATATCCAACTCATTGAATTTGTATGTGAATATGTAAGACTTTGTTCTTGATAACTTGTCATTATTTTACTGAGTACCATTAGCCTTTTTGTTATTCTAGTTATTTAGTTTTAATCCTGAGAGCTGTGTATTTAACTAGTGTTGCTTAATCAATTTTGATTTGACAGAGGATTTTCACTTGCTTCTTCTTTCACTGCCTTTTCATATGTTTTTAAGAACCAATTCTTAGCTTTTCATTTCTTTGGAAGACCTAACTTCAATTTTTTTTGGTTTGTTGTTCTCCAGTGTTAATCAAGGAATAACAATTTGAAAAACTTTTATAGTAACCTGTTCATTGCCAGAGCATTTATTCTCTTAAAGTAGTTGGTACCTATTTTCACATCCAGTGTATTAAACTTTTTAATTGCTAATGGACTAAAATTCTTAGCATGATCTATGTTTTCTTCATTTATTGGTTTATTTTCATTTAGGAGGTCCTGAAAATGTTTATTCAAAAACCTAGTATATTTTCTGTAATATCTGGATTAATCAACTTTTATTGCAGTAGAAAACACTTCTCTTTTCCGTACATTAATAATCCTGGAAATAGATGTCTATTTATAGTTCAAGGATGCTGAAAGATTTTTTCAATCAATGTGAGTTATGACTGAAGCATCGTCTTACTTCCTGTCTTTTACATACTCAGTCAAACAATATAAATGGCAGATAGTACTTTAAACAGATCGACCCTTCTGTTTATTGTTAATATTTCGAAAGCTGTCATTAAAGACTTGACCACTTCCCATGAGTCAATTTTAATGAGAAGTATGGAACAGCCCAGGCGTATTACTCCAGTAGTTAGGGAAAAACAGTCTCTATTGTATCCACTGTGTTTATTCATTAAAATATGAATTTATCTTTTCTCTTAAAAAGTAATATACTTTTCTTCATAAAATTGAGTTTTTAAAACTCTTCCAATGCTGGGTGTTTCCATTAACCTTATCAGAAAATAGTGTTTTCTTTCCACTATTGGGGTTAACTCTTACGGAAGATCTGATCTTTTCTTTCTTATGAGGTAGTCATAGATAAAATCATTATAATCGAGTGAATGTTAAATGAATTAAGAATTTTCCATTATGTTGTTGGTTTCTTTAACATTAAATTTCATGAAACAAAATTAATTGATAAATTATAATCATAAACAATACTTAATATTAAGTCATATTTGATTAGATAAATTTTAATGCTAAATTTACCTCTGCTTTAAGGTCTAAGTTTTCTTTTATTAGTTCATAAGAGGAAATAACATTGTTAATGTGAGGAACAGTTTTCAGAAGTATTTTCTTAGCCACCAAGATACCTATGGATAAAAAATTATTGTATTAATAAATTTGTATAATAAAAGAATTGAATAATATATAAACAGAATCAGGCTCAGGAGTAAACTAAATCATTGCCTTTATCTTACCAAATAATTTCACTTTTTCTCCTACTTGTTTTAATTAAAATGATTTAATATTTAAAAAGTAACCTGAACTTTGTAGACCACCCACAAACTTTTGACCTGAGAAGAACATAACATCTTTATATGCTCCCTTTTGGTTGATTCCAGGTACTATTGGATTCATGTCTAAAGATACATAAGGTGCTGAAAAACAAAAGTGCTATTATATTAAAATGATAATCTTATCTTTCTAACAAAAATAAATGTTTAGTTAATTATATAAATTTTAGATCAATTTTAGACTAATTAAATCAATAAATTTGTGTATCTAAGTATTTTGGGGTAGTTATAATTTGAGATATTCCATAAATTTTAACAAGCTAACAGCTGAATAACATATAATATATATATAATAAAAATTATATATATACGTATTATATAGTATAGCTCTTATGAGTTAGGATGGCTCTTCCCCTCCTTCTGAAGACAATATTTTCTAGGCACATTCTTTTACCAAATAATTATTAATCATCGTCCTCCTACGCATACAATCTCCTACAATTTAAGTCATCTATCTCTACACCCTCTCCACAAGATCTTGCCCTTTTTACCTATACACCCCTTTCCACAGATCTGTCTCATTTAAACATTCCTTTGATGTCCCTTCCAATGCATTTTGGAATTCCATCCCACTAAAAATCAGCCATACACCATCCTTATTCCAATTCCTCTTCACAATTCAATCAGACGCTGGCTAAGTATTTCTTATGTAGTAAGGCAATGTAATGTATTTTCTTTATACATTACTTTTTTTTCTCTTGTCTTTTCTTATGTGTTGAACATGAAACAGAATTTCTAACACCATTTACAAAGCATTGTCAGTAGTTATAATTTGTTGTTTTGTGTGTGTGTGTGTGTGTGTGTATAAATATATGATTTTTTTTTCATCCCTTAATCTTTATGTATATTCACTTAAACTTCTTAAAGAGCAAATGTAAATCATTTATTTAGTATAGTTATTTTTTTAAATGTTTATATTCTATCACTACAATGCTTTGCCTATACAATTTATTATGAGTTCCTTTCTAATTTCAATTATTGATTATTATGTTATTGTTTTAGTTCCAATATTGTAGTAGTGTAACCCTATTACCCATCTGTTTTCATTAATATATCCTAAGAGATATGTATATACTTATTTTATTACTTGTATTTTAGTTATTCTTTATTGTAATCGGTCTTTTGACCAGATTTATTGTCAATTCATATGAACAATATTGTTATTCTTAAGGAACCTAGTTCCAAAATAAAGATGATTTTCTATTTTTATATAGTATATAGTATATATATATATATATATATATATATATATATATATATATAATATATTATATATATATATATATATATATTTTGACAATATCCATTGTAAGCAAATCCAAAGGCTAGATCCTGATACTACAAAAAATTACACAACCAACATACTTTTTTGACAGTATAAACAACTATGATATAATTGGAAGAATAACAAAAAAATCTTGAGTTTCTAAAAAACTGACGAACAACGGTCTTGTCTATTTTTCTTCAGTTCAGGACAGAATGAGGACAGAAAAACAAGACCAATCCCGCTAAAGAGAGAAGTTTGTTTTAGAGAATTTAGAAGTAAAACATAATACAAAAAAAAATTAGAAAACTAAAATTGTATTTTATTAAATACATATTTTGGAAATGAAATTGTTTATACATAGAAAAATTCTTTTTTATTTAACAATTTAACTTGTATGTATATAAAAAATTAAAATTTCAAAATACTTGAAATTGTAATATGTTTGAATAATCAAAATGGTACCATGAATGCTGGAGGATTAAGGTACGAGCTCAGGCTTCATATGTAACTTGATTTAGGGTAATCATTTCTTTGCAATAACATTTCTGTGTTGGGCCCACAATTTTTACTATTACACACTTTATTCTTTAAAACGTCATGCACCAATTTTTAGTTTTTTCTATTTTCATTCAAGCGGCTAAATTTTGAATACTAAGGTTTTAACATACATAACATCAATTTTTATTTGAAATTTAACCAGAATTGAGATGACAAATTCCTAATCAAATCTATAGAACTAACAGCTAAATGTTAAGACTGTAACCCCTATTTCAAAACCGAATTATTAGTATATAATATTGAATGAAGTTTCTATGAGTTGGATTAACGTTTTCGTAATACGAGTTTCATTAGCTCCTAGCTGTCCATTATGGAGAAACTTTTCAATCAAAATCTTTGTCTAAAGGCTATCTGCATCTGTTATAGAGAATGTCTATTATGCAGAAGCCATTTATGGTGTAACATTATTGAAATCTGACAGGGATTATAAAATTGTCTGCTATAGAGAAAAATCTGCTATAGGGAACTGTCTTGGAGGAATATACTGTCTCTGACTGAAGTGTTTTTTTTTTTTTTTTTTTTTTTTTTTGGCTGTGGTATGAGCTTTATTTCATTTGTACATAAGTGATCTTGTTTTTTCTATCCTGCTGGGGCTTGAATCAGTGAAAAGTTGAATTTTTAATTTTTTTTATCACTATTTAAAAAAAAATAGTAAAAATTAATTTTTGTCTCTTTTTGATAGTTTGCTCTATCATATTATTATAAACTGAATTAAAATTTGTATAACTTTCAGAGCAATAGTTGTTTAAAAGTATGAGTTTGGTATGGTATTATAGCTGGTAAGCAGTGTATGTCTCTGTAAAACTGCAAATAACAGAATAGGTCTATATTGAGGTTTTCACAGCATGGCTGTATCTGTTTTTTAATCCTTACAATCTTCCAATTAGTTAATCCAGTAGTGCACCTTAGAGGTCTCTGGTCCCCTCTGAGACAGCAGATTTAAGTGACAAATGCTTTTTATATGCAAATAAATTCAGACAATTTAATTTATCTTTTAATGCCAAATAAATATGCCTAAAACTTCCCTTTTATGCACTCATAAATATTTATTTATAGCCCAATGCTTATTAATATTTCATTAAAGAATCTTAAATATAATGTTTTCTCAAATAATCCCTGAAAAATAATGCTTTGTATACCACTAAATCAAGTAATAATTAATTATAATCACTTAATAAAACACATTACAACCTGCAACAGCATAATCCCAAAAAGCAAGAGCTCCATACTGATGTAATAATATGGTTGTAGCAATGTCATCTGCAAGAATTCCAGTTGTTGCTGAGGCTGCTGAGAAACAACCAATCATAGTTTTGTTGTTTGAATGTTTTTGATGAAATATTAATTTAGCCTCAAGATCTGTAAGATCTAGCATGCCTTCTTTAGTTTCTGAAATTCTAACAATCTGAAAATAATTATTAATGATATTTAATTACTTAATCATTATTAATCTTTATTTACTTAAAGAATCATTATTGCTAATATATTTATGGTTTGAAAAATCTCAAACATATAACTGATAATCAATATCCATAAGAATATATAAAAATGAAAATTACCAATGCATCTGTTTGGTTAGTTCATTGAAAATTATTTTTAAACTATTCAGCAATTGGGCAGGAAGTCTTTAATTATTTTTGATCAGAAATCAACTTTATATATAACCAGGGGTGCCCATCCCCCCCAAGTCTGATGGCATAAACTTTCCCCCTCTACTCCCAAGATATTTTATTCCCCTCTCCTTCTTAAAAACTGTGCAAATGAAAGTGGAATTTAAATACTCATCTATTATATACAATTACGTATCCCGCGTTCTGTTTTATGCTTCCAGTTGTATTTAAATTTGAAATTTTTCATTTTGAAAATTCATAACCCTCTCCAAAGGTGCCCCCTCAAAAATTGAAAACCCTGTCAAAAAGTGACCCCCTCACAAATTTTGATGGCTCAACTTGCGCCACAAAACCCCCTTCTGGGCACCCCTGTATTTAATAATTCCAATAATACTTCTGAAGATACTAATTATTGACTGTGATACTTAAGGAAAAGTAACAATAACTTTTATATATTAACAACAGCAGCATAGAAATAAAAACTAGATGAGCAAATTGATGATATGTTATAATTAACGATCTGTGAAAACATTGAATTAGACTTTTCAAAGAAAGATTTGTTGAAGATTAAAAGAAAAAAGTAAACCTGTTTCCCAAAAAACCTCGAAGAGTCTTGATTTCATTGTTTAGTCAGGACTGATTGCTTCTTGACCAACAGTTATAGGAGATGATTTGTACAAATTATGCTCCACCATGTTTTTCTCCCAATTAAGAGAACCCACTTTGCAGAGGCTGGCTATACCCCAGAAGAGTCTTCCGAACCCAGGGTCAAATTCATGGGTGATGAACAGAATTAATAATTATCTGTCAGAGCTGAACTCAAACCCGTACCTGGTAGACAGAGCCTTACCCATTGAACTAACCCCCTCTCTCTCCTCTCCCCCTATAGAAGGATTAAAACAAGTCATATTGACTGTTTTCACATGTTTCTTCAAATCAATTACAGACATTTAAGAACAAAAGGCCAAAAACCACCAATGTATCATGTAATAATTTATAAAAAGTAAAGTCAAACAAAATCAATAATTTGATATCAGAAAAAAAATTACTTTAAACTACCTTATAAAAATAAAATAAATGTTCTTTAATAATATTTTTAAATCATTTAATATATCAAATTAGTATTTGTTTTAATACATATAAACTAGAACTAAAAATGATAAAAATAAGAGAGATTCAATGTAAAACTTACAGTGGATTTTATTTTTATCCATGGAAGCACATTAGATTGATGTTCACAGGCACCAATAAATACAACAGGAGGGGTAGTAATGTTTAAACTATCAATTAATTTGTTGAGCACTCCTGTACAGCTATTGCCCACAAACAAAAGGATATCTTCTTCGGAAGCGTTTACTGCACTACTGAGAATGTCTCTTGCTTCTTCTCTGGAGAATATTGAAAATTTCTTTTAATTGATTCTTAATTCGAGAAATTCTAGTTTTTTAATATAACTATCAATAAACATGAACAATTATTCTGGAACAATGAAGATCTAACTTTGAATAACAACTATTCTATAAAGAAACAAATTTATCCTTGATTAAATCACTACAAACATGCTAATTTTTAAGTTCATTATTTTATTTAGGGCAAATACAAAAATTTCAAATAAAAAATGTATTAATTTCCATTAACTTGTTCAGGAGTTAATGTTTTACACTCCAGTAATCTGAGAGAAAACAGGGAAAGAATTTTGAGTGTAGTAAGTGCCTTTTCAGTCCTGAAAACCCTGCATTCCATCTATCATCCTATCCTAGTGACAACCACCTACTATTGTCACCACATATATTATTTTAAAGAGGTATTACATTAAAAGTTTAACTATCTTTGAGATTCCACATGACTAGTTCAGTTGATATGAAGTAATGTTTTTGTATTATTTTTAATCTTTTTTAAAATCTTTCAGATAAACATTGCTTATCTTTTATGGCAACTCTTAAAAAAAATAAATGACAGATACTAACAGACATGAAAAAAAAAAACAAAAAAAAAAAAAACAGGGGAACTTATTATAGTATATATGCTTTTAGAAAGAAAAACTCATTAATATCATATATAAGAAAAATAGAAGTAAATTATGAAATATGAAACATCTAATTTAATATAGTGAAATTGATAAAATAAGCTCAGACATCAATATAGTAGACTGCCGCTCACTAGTACAAATCAAGAATGAGGCATCTGAGGTTAAGCATGAGAGCCAATTAATTTGGAGAGTATAAAAGAAAAAAAATTAAATAATAAGTTAACTTGTATATTAGGTAAAATTTAAAATATTATAAATTATAAAATTAGACTATAGATCATACTTATATTAATATATCTTGAAGTAAAATTTATAAAGCCACTTTATTATAACTTGATATACATTCATGACCAGAATTAAAATTTTCAGAAAAAGTAATTAGTAAAGTTATTATATTATTATTATAAAATGATGCCTTGAAACCTAAATGTTCTTGATTAATTAGTTTAACTAATAAAATACATAAAATTAAATAATTTCATGATTGAATGTCTATTTACTTATCTTTGTTATAATTTATAGTGATTTGCATAATACATAACGATGAATTATAATCTCCATCCATATATTTAAATATATATAATGTTTTTTTTTAACTTGAAAAATAATGAAAGTATACTTGTAGCAACTTCTTACATTAATAATAAAATAAATCTTTATAAAGTTGGTAATGCTCAATTGTGAATTTATTATTTTCTTATAAATTTACCTGAAGAATGATGATTGGAGTGTTGCAAATGTGGTAGCTGAATATATGTTACTGTGAAGTGGTAATACCTCCTTTTTAATATATTCCTCAACAAATTCCATACTCTTAGATGAGGCAATGTAGTCACAGAAAACAACTGGAAATCAATAATCATAATTAGATTGGTATTTTAGACATAGTATTGTAACAAAATGTGAGTAGTTGCCCATAATAATTAACCAAGAAAAATATGGTCAGAATAGGTCAAAATTACAGCAAAAAATAGTACAATGTATGTAATGAATGCTGATGTTTTGGCCAACTTTGTAGAGAGCAAGGCACATTCTGTCCCCTCAATATTTTTGAAGGAGGACCAGTCCTCCAATATTTCGCAGTCTTTTATTAAAGATAACTCACAAAAACAGGTTAAGATATAAATTTTTTGGGAGATGACGTTATGGCCTGGAGTACCAAGTGGTTACATATGACCATCTCAGATTTAATAAATTTTAAATCGGTTCGTAATAATGACATTATAAACTGTACTGCTACTTATTATTTGAGTGATCAAACATTGACACTATGCAGATCTCTATTTCCTTCCAATATTTAAATTAATGCAGGTGTGGATGTGTTGTTTGTAGAATTGAAACGTCTGCATTTATGAGAAAGATACATCACTGCAACATTTAATCGTATAAAACTCAATACTAAGAGTAAAAGCATACAATATTATAAGTAGTTTTAAGTCGCATCGGATCCGAGGCTTGAGGGCCCCCAGAATTTCGACATTCGATTGTTTTTTTTTTTCTCAGAAATACGTCTGAGAATTCAAAAAGTATTAGAAATAACAATATAATAAAATAACAAATAATTATTTTATAGAAAAAAGTTAACATATAAAAAAGCTAATAAGGCAGATATATTATCATTTCGGGAAATGTCTCGGAAGTAAAATGATATTTGTGAGTAGTAAATAAACTTTTTCCTAACAAGTTTTTCTCCTATAACAATAGATTATCTATCATAGTTTCACAGAAATTAGTACAGTTTTAAAATGGCAACTGCATATCTTGAAAAATCTTGAATACCCTTATGCAATGATGGATTACGATAATTTTTGATGTTTACAAATTGCATTTTATGTTACAAAAACTATAATATATTGATTGCTTATTATATTGTGTTTATTTGAATAGTGATCAGGTTAACTGCTGTAAAAGTAAATTTTAATTCAGAAAATTTTTATAATGCTTGAAATAAGTAAATTGTATTTGGATACTTATTTACATTGTATTGTATTGCATTTAATTCATAAGTAATAAGTAAACAATTGGGATTGAAAATTTATTTGTTTTATGTTACTCCCTCTCCCCTAATAATACGAAGAGGCCTCATCCAAGACTTTTCGTCCGGCCCTTATTACTTCTTGGTCCGCCTCCGGAGGAAGAAAAATATCCAAAAAAAAAATCTTTACCCAACAATCCACGGGAAGTGATTATTTAATTTAAAACATAAATGTGTTATGTTATTACTGAAAAAGATTTCTATAGTTATAATCTTATAAGATCGGTGGGAGGAAGTACGCTGACAGCAATTGTTGGTATCGGTATCGAACGCTCGGGTTCACTATGCCGCTATTATTATGAGTGCCTGCTTAAAGGCAGGGAAAGCAAGAGGAACCACTTGGGGACGCCGAACTGGAGAGGCGCCCGTCACTTGTTGGGAATTATAAAAAAATACAAAAGCTAATGAGCTAAATTAATTTTAGTCTATCGATAAATCTAATGAATTAGAGACACATTGAATGAAATACAATTCAAATAAAATGTAACATACAACAGCTTACATTTTTTTTTAGGTATGAGGCACTCATGAAGTAATTGCCCGAGAGGGAGGGGGGAACTAAATCTCTAAGGCTGACACTGATTATTATGGTTATTAGTCTTTCATGATATTAGCAACTGCGCTGTAATGCATCTAGCAAATCTGTTGTTCATGTTTTATAACTTGAAACTTATATCCTATAAAAAAATATGTGATGGCTAAAGAAATTGTGTCGAAGGTCCCCGATTCCCTGATTCTGAACGTTGTGAAGTCGATTCCAATTCCAATTTTGCTGTGTATGGTGTGTTTAGGCAACTTTCCAAATTTAATTAAAAAAGGCAAATAACTCTAATGAGTTCTACGTAGGAAACATTCGACATTATTTTGGTAGTGGACTGTATTTTTATTGAAAGTGGTAGGTTATATGAATTGTGTAAAGTAAAACTCATCCTTTTATGCTGGCATAGATATCTTACTTAACTGAGAGGGCGCCCTACGGTCAGGTCTTAGGTTTTGTCTGCTCAAGTGGCTGGCCTGGAATGGGCTGAGAGAGTCTCGTAGATTGACCGGCTCAAATCTTAACTTTTAGATCTTTATCAGCTTTGTTTTCACGACTCACCCCAACGTGGCGATCGGGTACAATATCATTTACACAAAACCGTGTGATTTAAAATAAACCTATTAACGTTTTTTTAGAAAAAAAATCGGATTGTGTTTTTTGAACTTTGTTTATGTATCTTGATTCAGTAAAAAGTGGTAAAACATTTCCAACACTTCATTTTGGTTTAACCTTTTTCTTTAACACCTTGTAGCAGTGGAAGACCCTATAATGTTCTGACGGGAGATATAATGGGTATATCAACAAATATAAAATGTATTTAATGGGTCTATTCCTGAAGGGAAGGAAATGGCCCGGAAATGTTGATTTATATTTTTTTTTTAGCCTAAGCCAATTATTTTTTAATATTTCTTCATGTTATATCATTCAATGACTATTCAGCTGTAACAAAAGACCAACTATGAGGAAATTAAGCCAAATGCTGATTCTCAGTGACCAAAAAACTAACTAAAGTCAAAGTCGTCAATCCGCCATCTTTGGACGCCATGTTGGGGCAGTGCGTCCACTTTTGTTTGTGGGAACATTGGCTTTTTTAAATAAACAGTTAGAAGGAACACAACGATATGCAATTTATAGGGATGTGGGGGGGGGGGGGGAGGGGAGGGGGAGTGCACGGTAAGGGGGTCTGGCCCACCGTGTGAATAATTTAGTCCATCAAGTGAGTTAGTGGCGGATTTCAATGGCATTTATAGAATACTAATAATTGAATATTTAAATATAATTAAATACAGTTTAATACTGCTCAAGTTATATCCCAATTAACGAAAGCGACATTAATAATATTGCATTTTATGTGTACATTTCATTGGATTTAATAGAATTTTACTGAATTCTATTAAATTGAATTGAAAAATTTAGATATTTGTTTGTTTGTTTACAGCGTAAACCCTTGGGATTAATGACTCAATACATATATATACATATAATGACGTACTTGGTTTTAATTGTGAAATCTTGCAAATATTATTTCCCATAAACATATAAATCGTTTTATTATTAAATAATGTTAATTCGTAAATTCTAATTTATGTTAAGATTTAATGTCCCTATTCAGTTTCACTATGTTTACTTAGCCCACAAATACCGTTCAAATTTGCATTTAGTTTTTATTGAAGACAAAAGGAAATGAATCAGTTGGTCTTAAGTCGGGAACAAAGTATGGCACAACAAATCAAATAGAAATATGTTGAAAATCAGTTTAATTCTTGAAAATTCGGAAGAAATTTCTTGCGATTAACGAAAAAAAAAATCCACTCAACTACGATGATTTTTATTAATAATATTTCTGAGCAGTGTTATCTTGTATTAGTACGTAGAGCACAGCAACGAATTGTAACCATACCGTATGTTATCTCTGTTATCTCTCCAAGGTCACGATATTTGCTGCCCACCACGCCCACCAGTCTCCACTGTTTGTTGATGTTGACTTTTAAATTATCTTCCTTGGTTATAAGCTGTGATGGGATCCCGGTCATGGCCTAGCGTTAATGTCGTGATGCTAATTGAAACAACCTAGGCGTAGGAATCTTAGAAGATACCCTATTAAACTAAAACTATATCATGAATTATCTAAAATCTGACGTGGTTAATGAGATAGTAAATATCCATGGCTTCGAGACATGAAATCTATCATTTATTTAACGATGTCATAAGGCTTCATCCAATCTAAGAACATCATGTAGGACCAAATGTATCATTTAACTGTAATATGATTTTATTAGAGCCTATTTTTATTTTTTTTATTTCTTAATGACATTTACAAATGTATTACATAAATACATCAAGTAAATTTGGACATAATAGATATAATGACATGAATACACTTGCTGAGTAACTACCCAATGGTAGCACTCTAATGATATGACTACATTAGGAGATCACGGGGCCATCTTCTTTTCAGACGCCTTGGAGGGTTATCAGGAATTGAAGAGGAAGCAAGGTTAGAAACGAGAGGGTTGGAATGATTCTGTAGTTTATTATGAAGGATAGGTATCTGGATTGGGCCAGATCTGAAACATAAGGAACATTAAGATCTTTATGGATAATTTTATTAGTGACAAAGTAAGGAGCATTGAGGATTTTACGAAGGATTTTGGATTGTAAGGATTGGATGCGAGAGGAATTCGATGGTTTAGTGGAGCCCCATAGCTCAACTCCGTAAGTCCAAATAGGTCAATAAATATTAGAAATTATAGTCAAGTATATGAGTCTTTTGTAATTAATGGGAAGTTTAGAGCGTTTGTCTAGTAAGTGCTGAAGTAATCGGAAACGTCGAGCGGTTTCTTGTCGTTTCAGTCTAGTATGAAGATTCTAAGTTAGTCGTTTGTCCAGGTGGAGTCCTAGGTATCGGATTTGCTCAACAGGGATAAGTGGAGTATTGTTAAAGGAAACTGTAGGACAGGAAGTCGTTGGTTTACGACGAAGGGTAAAGGTAATTTGGTGGGATTTATTGGAGTTTAATATTAGAGCCAAATAGTTGTTTCGATTTGGTTTAGAAAAAAAAATCTGGTACGGTGCGCTCATCACACTACTTGGAGTAGAAATTAATTTCTTCCCATGGTAATATTGTATTTTATAATCCCAATTCCTAGTTTCACTGCCGGTTCCACGAGAGGGGGGGAGGGGAAATGGGCTTTCGGGTTTAAGCCCACCAAAATAGAAAAACTATTTTTTTTTTTTCATTAGGCCATATTAATTTCTGTGAGTATCTGAA